GCTGGAGGAACGAAAGGGGAGTGATGAGAGCCACCCCAGCATTTTCCCTCTGAGCCATCAGCTGTGCCCCCCGTCAGGAACAAATCCCTGCCCGCTCATCCTTGAACATGCGGATTTTAAACACCTCACCGGGACTGAAAAAAGGAAGAAAAAAATTTTTCATTCTTTCAAGTCCCTGTCCCCTCCTGTTGTCCTTTCCACCCCCAAAGGACTTTGGTTTGACTCCAGCATCTTCATATCCAAGTTTCCCTTGTTTTGGCAGAGCAGTGAGCGTGGTCATCACCAGGCATTTGACTGAGAGGGTGGTTGAGTCCCAAGGACCAGAGCCAGGCTTCTCTTGTGAACCCCCAGAGGTGCACAATTGCTGCCCATAAAATATTCCAGAAAGCCAGTGCCCACAGAGGTACAGATGCACCCCATGCCATGGGCCTCCATTTGCCATTGTAGCAGAGACAGCAGGACAGAGACAGAAAAAATCTAATAAGATGAGACTTCTTCCCAGGAAGGGTCTTTTCCTAGGAAAAAGAGCCAGGTTACGGGGTGATGATCAGCAGCTTTCCCAGAAAAAGGACTATTCACATCCTCCAGGTCCCTGGATGTAAGACAAGACACATACACTCTGCAATGCTGGTACCAAGGGGAGGGACTGCTTCCACATCCCGGGAGCCCATGAGCCGCCTGGGCAGCTCTGCCTGGGACCTGGGGCTGAAAGGGTCCTGGAGCACCCAGGGCAAGGTGAGGGGAACACACACAGGCCAGGTTTTTGGGTTTCTACTGAACCTATCCCCCACAGCTCTGCAAGCTCCTGTGAGGAGGAGCAGCCCCAGCACTTCTGGGAGCTGCACGCCAGCAGCATCTGTTTCTGGGGTACTTTTGTTCCCAATTTATCCCCTGTCTCCTGGAGCTATTATAAGCAGGTACAATCTGCATTGCCATTGTTATTCAGATGATGTACAGATAATTTTAACCTTTCTGTTCCATTTGTCAAGAGGCTTTTTTTAGCCTCTGCGCCTGCCAGGCAGAGTGCTCCGACAGCAGAGGCTCCCCATTTTTCAGCACCAGTTTCCCTTCCTAGGGTGAGGCTCTGCCTCTCTGCATTGCTCCGAGGTGTCTTCATGACCCCAGATATTTTTACAGGTTTTGGGGAAATGAGGTAGAGGTGGTTAAGTGCTCAACTAGCTACATCTATCACTCATCCGGTAGCAACCTCCCAAGCAGGGCTCCATGGGATGTCCATCAGAGGCACCTGCACACTCCATCCTGCTTTTAAAGCCTCTGGAGCAGCTCACACTGAAGACAAACACTTCAAAGAATGGCAATGCAGTACTTATGGCTCACATAGGAAGAGATCCTCTCTTCAGACTGCTTCCAGCACCAGTGCAAAGCGCTCATCACCACCCCACAGAGCCTTGCCTACAGTCAGGAGCTCAGAACATTTTTTTGGAAATAAAGTGGGAATTTAACTTCCCAGCCTGAAAAAAATGCTGAGCTGTCACCACATCCATCGCCTCAGGAAGTGCTCTCAAAGCTAGGCCATCTCCTGGAACTGTATACTTCCCACTGAAAACATGCTTTTCATCACTTCATGAGCCAAAGAACTAAAAAACTAAGCCTGTCAGCATTTGGGTTTCTGGTGACCCAATAGATAGAATAGAATAAAGGGAAAGATGCACAAAGCAAAGAGCAAGACAAAGACAGTCCCTACAGGCTATGACATTTGGGCTTAGTCCTCACTAAGGACTAAAGAGAGGACTGCAGCAAGTGGGAAACACACAGGGTAAAGCTCATCTCAAAGTGGTCCAGATAAACAAGGTGACTGCCCTCATGCTTCCCTGAGCTCTACTTGGCACCCTCCTGTCACTGGGAAAGAAAAAGAGTCCTATCGAAAAGCCATAAACCATCCCTGTCACCCGTGCTCAGCCTGGAGGCTGCCACAGGCTGCTGCCTCACCTCTGACTGCCTGAGAACTTTCTCTGCTTTAAACAGCTCTGCAAAAAAGAAATATAAAACATGACTTCAGTATCTTTGCTTGACAACTCACCCATGAGCTTTGGACCAGGCAACAGCATCAGCATCCACTTGACATCTCCTGGGCGCAGGCGCGGAGAGGTGGCCAAGCTGTTTAAATTCCCCGAAGCAGCAGATCCCAGCAGGGTTTCCAAGCCCTCGGTTTCCACGCTGATGCTCCCTTGTATTTCTTCAGCAATACAGTATCATGATGATGCTCTTAGCTTCCCCTGGAGGTCTGCTGCGGTGCCAGTGTTCACCGCTCCTCAAGTTCCTGGTCTTGGACACCCAAGATGCCCAGTGCCCCCCAGCTGGCATGTCTGGGAGCAGCCAGGCACAAGCCACAGCTCCCCCAGGATACCAACCCTTCCCAAACATCCTTCCTGCTTCTCTTCTTCACAGGTCCCCACCCTGCTTGAGGACCATAGGGATGCCCATGCTGGGTAACACCTCATCCCATGGGATGGGACGGCCTGCACAGCCTGTGTGCCACTCCCTCCTTGCCTTGGGAACCTTTTGCAGAGGTCCATCATCTCACACAGAACCCCCATGGCCTCACCAGCATGGGGGGGGATGGTGCCAATGAGACAGGGTCTGCAGCGGTTCTTTACAACAAGGTTTTATTTTTCTTTCCTTTTGACAAAAAACATTGAAGTTGTACATTGTTGTTAATCAGTTCGGTTCCCTGTCTGGCTCCGAACTAGCACATTATGTTACAACATCCCACCCCAGAGCCTGGGGGTGAAGGCAGAGCATCTCCCACCCACCCTCTAACAGTCCCAACAGCCACCAGCCCCACACTTGAGGGAGCTCTGCTGCCTGAGGCCTCACGGCAGAACAGGAGGATGGTGCTGGGACAACCAGCCTGGAGAGGACAACAGGGTTCTCTGCTCATCTCTCCACAAACCCACCACAGTCCCCACCCAGGAGCTTTGCAGGGCTTTGAGTCCAGTCCCAGCACCAAACTGGGAACCAGCTGCATGCTACTGGTGAACTCCTGCCTGGGGAGGGGCATGTCCTAGGTGGGGAGAGGTTGAAATACATCCCCCGCTTCTCATCCTCCCTCCCGTGGTCAAGCATGGCCAGCAGCCACAGACGCCGAGGGCACTGGCAGATCCTTGGTGTCCAGGAGGAGAAGGAAACGTCCAGAAAGCCACAGATAAGAGACTGTACCACAGCAAAGCGAGTCCAGAGCCTTGGAAAGCAAGGTGCAGGCAGCAATGGCACCTTGGGGCTGGTTTTCCTTCCCCCTCAGCACAGTCCTTTCCATGGTTCTCCTGGGGGATGTTTTTGGTTTCAGAGACATGTTTTGGAGGTGCCGCCTTCTCCCCGTGGGTCCCTGCCTGTCCTCCCACCATGGGAGCAGGACTGTGGCTGTTTCAGGAGACACAGAAGCAGGGCATTTTTCGGGCCCTTTCAGGGTAAAAAGGGGCGCTGTTTCGTTTCACACAGTTTTTGTACGTTAGTTACACGCAGGGCTGACATGCCAAAAAGCTCAGGTTTGGACAATGCAGCCCAGTGCCACATACAGGTGCGCCCCCAGGGGTTGTGCCCCAGCCTGTACCACCACTGCAGAGCATCACCACACACCGCTCAACGGCCCCATTCAGGGGCTGAGGAAAGAAAAACGCTCAAAGCCTGAAATCCGCGTGGAATACTTGCCCCCGCCTCGAGAGCATCACTCCCCCC